CTTAATTGTATTCGCTGAATTTGGTAATATGTACAAAATTTCATTATAACTTTATTAGGCGGAGACAACCTGATAGACTTCAGAATTGTCAAGGCCAATTGAAATTCATTTCTGTTGACGGAGATTGTCTAGGAAGGTACAAGTTCACTCTTTTCATTTATAACTACTGTAAGTGAAGTAAATTTGGTAAAGTAAGATAGAATCATAAAAACAATATTATATTGTTAAGGTCTCTTCTCCATGGCTTGGTGACGTTTAAAGTTTTGAAAAGTACTTCGATATTTATATTTCACGTCTGCGTATTTGCGGGCTACTTCTATTTATCATGCTACTATGTACCTTTCTGATTATAACTCGCAATGTCGGGTATTCTTGAAAGGTGCAAACACCTGGAGACCATGAACTTCACCATACTCTCTTCGCTAATTATGATATAACTAACTCGGAACTATACTGTTCCCAATAGTAGTTATCCGATCTTTAGAGTATTTAGACTTGTGGCCTAGTTCTCAAGTTGAATTGAGTTGGCTCTAATGGTTTTCGTTATTGATGAAATGATCAGTTTTACCTGTGTGTTGTATCTGTGAAGGTAGCCATAATCGTAACCTTTCTTGATCGTCTGACTTTAAACCTCCATAACTCCTTAACCAACCAATAAATATCTTCCAGAAGGCTTCCTACTAATTCGCAGAAAGCTATTCTATCGGGCTGATAATTATTCTCTCAGTTGACAACCCTTGTTTTCTTTTAGGTAATAGGATTTCAATCACCATTATAGTATGAGAAGTTGTCTTCATAACTACAATGTATTCCAAAACCTGGTTACAACACTTCATGAAGTCTAATAACTTCTATAGCAGTGTTTCTTGGAGTTCTAGATTCTTCTAGATATTGTAGGATAGGTGTGAATGTATTGGTCTCTTGTTGAGATCCTTTACCATTCAATATCATTTCTTTATGCAGAAAGGTCCTGTTACTTACGGCTTACACCAAAGGTATCACCTCTTTGAAGAATAGTAATGTTCTGAGTAGTTGGTGGATCCACTTTGTTTCACTTCTCAGACCTAGCTGAAGGTCTCCTCTCATAGATTCTGTGAACAAGATCCGGTCGAAGAGATGGTGGCGACGCATACAGTATTATTCGGACACCTTCAATTCTGTGGTATTATAGTCATAGGATGCAACTGAGATTGATATGTATGATGA